CAGGTTGAAGCCTGTTCATTACATGACCCAGGTCTTGATTGTTATGTGCCAGGCTCTGACGCTGCTTGTAGATGAAACTGTTCAAATGAGAAAAGGTGGTTTTGTAAAACCACTTCGTGGTTTGTTAACTACCATGCAAGGAGATACTTGTGCCCTGTTGCACATAGAATGTTACATTTATACCCCCTTGACTTTGAGGGGGTGGGAAGGGGAGCCACTCAGACTGCTTCGGAGCTCAGGGGCGTCTAAGTCCACCTGAGGGTGTACCCTGCTTGTCTGGCACAGGTACACCATGGGATATAGTTATATAACCTTGACTTACAAGCCACACATGTGCTGGTTGCAGTGCTATGTGGGGATATAGGCTGGGGATATAGCTCAGCAGCACAATGCCTGCTTGTCACGCAAGAGGTTGTGAGTTCAATTCCCAGTACAAGAAAAATAAAAGGATATAAACATGAGATGACAACCTGTCCAAGCATTACACAATATAGATGCAGGTGGCTCTCTTGTACTCAGCTCTGCTCCGTGCTGCCTGTTGTTATTTCTGATGTGTTCCATACCTGCATTCTTTAGCCTTTGGAGCTCATCCATAAAAAGCTCCCGTAGGGCCCCTGCGTGGGCCGACAGCCCTTATTGCCCCTTCCATATACTGCTCACTTGCAATATGTTTATCCCGGCATTCCTCCTGTGCTCTGAGGCAGCTCTGGAAGTCTTCTTTCATGTCGGCCAGCACCTGGTGTGGTTGCCTCCATGTCCTATTCAAATATTTACCTTTCCTGGTGATTTAAGGCTTTGGGAAGGAGCCAGAAACTGCAGGGTGCCGGACTTCGTCAGTACACTGGGTGAAGACACACTAGCGCTGTTACCTCCGATGCACTATGTTTTTTATAACGCTTCGTAAAGATACAAAAGGGAAGTCCCAGAACTGCTTCAAAAAGTGGCAAAAAGGATGTGATAACTTGTTAGAAGGAGAAAGGACTATTTTGAGGGAGATCAGTAGCAGTGTGTCTTTTGGAGCAATACATTTTAAAAAATTAATTAATTGCCCCATATTTCAATCACACTATGTATAAAGGAACACACACAATTCAAGATCTGCATATATTTATGTAATATGTGTAATATCAAATGCAATATACAAATGCATTGTTCATCCTTGATAGCTTCTATTTTCTCTTTAAAATCTAGTTGCTATTCCTTTCATCCTTTCCCATTCCGCTATGTCCTCCAGGAGCCTAACTGAATAACTATAACTCCCATGTCCTCTGACTAGTGGGTAATCCCAGTTGAGCATCATAAAAAAGGGGAGTGAATTCAGTATGTCTATCCTGCTAGGCTACCCCTGGAAAGGTTCACCGCAAGCTGGTTGTGTCCTCCCACCAGGTTTCTAACCAATAAACTCTTTCTGTCACTTTCCGCTTTTAAGTTCTGATAATTTTTTTCCCTTCCTCTCCCTTGAGGAATGATAGTATCTCTAAAGCCACTAACCTCATGGTGTCACACGATTCCTTGTGGCTTTTCTGTATTTACACTTTATAAATAGACCCATGTAAATAAACCCTCTTGGAGTTATCTTATTTGAGCTTGCTGTCTATGTCCTGCTTACTGGCATCTTGACTGATCTGATATTTGTGTTAAAAGTACCTTTGAGAATCTTTGGTTAATGAAGGGGGGGGGGTAAAAAGATTTTAATCTGAATTTGTAAAAAAGAAAAACAATCTCATTCTGCTAACAATAATATATGTAAGCAGCTGAGGAAGAGTGTGCTAAAAGTTGTAATGAAATTGAGGTGGTATAGTAGCGGGTATGAGAAAACAGGATTTTGGAGTGATCTGTGATATAGAAATCAATCAAGGAGGTCTGGCAAGACAGCTTGGTGGACTAAGTGATGGTTTAGGCAAGCACAGGGACCGGGATTCGATTCCTGGCACCATGTGACCCTTCAGCCCCACCCCTGGGTGCCCTGAGCTGGTCATAGAGACTGGGCATGGTGGCACTCCTATATCCCAGTACTGGGGAGGCTGAAAACAGGAGGATCTATGAGTCCAAGCTGTGTAGTGAGATCCTGTATGAAACGCATTATAGAAAACGAAACAGAAATCAAGGAAGGAATTGTTGATTTTAACTCAATACAAACATCAAGTCCGAAGAGTGGGTCCGTAGTGGTTTCTCTTTGCTCCAGAGACATTGGATCTGTGATCTTACCTTTTGTCAGGAGGCAGGCATTAACAGAAGGATAAAGGAAAGCTGGAAGACACCCATGGAAGGATAACAACGTGACAGAGAAGCACTGGAGGGCTGATGTGTGTGAACAGCTTGAAAAGATGAAGTCATCGTGCTTCAGCTAAGTGGGAGTCTCAGGGGGACGTCAGCTGCCTCCAGTTATGTTGAATTTATAGATTCAAAGCAAAAGGCAGTGATTACCACAGATCGTAGGAGTGCTGAACATAAAGAGACACACTAAAAAGGGCAAAGTTCAGACCCAATAAAGGATCATTTTCTAATGTAGATTTCATGTTTTCTAAGTCTAAAATGTTGGATCCTATAATCTTTGACAAGGACAAAAGTGAAACAAACTGCACATAATTTCTTAATACTATATGTGTAGTTTTCTACTCTCTGTCATCTAAAGACCAGCATGTATATATTTAATATACCTCAGGAACCAGGCTTTCAAAGTCTTATATAGGATAAAAAGTAGTGACTGCTATGATTGTTTGGGCTTTGCCAGTTATGCCACAAGCACGCTGAGCACTAACATCACATTGTAATGAACAGAACTGAGGTTGGCGGGACCCCAGCAGCACTCTTGGGGCCATCCGTGTTGAACCGCAGCGCGAGGCCAGGCACCCGGGGATCTGCATCTCCTTTACGTGTCCAGCTACATGGTAGCCTCATTACATGGTGTTCATCATTTTATTACTTATGTGTCCTTATGGGTTATTTTAAAAGTTTTGTGAAGTGTTCGTTGCTAATTTTCTTGATTACATCAGGATGCATTTTAGCCGCCTTGAACTACGTCACCTACTCTGCAAGGGGATAGTCATTCCTCATTTTTGGGCAGTTCTCATCATCCCACCCATTCGAGCTGTGTGATTGAGGCAAGTTCAGATAATTTTATGTCCTTGTCCTCTGAAATAACATTTATTTTTAATTTTGAAAAATGAATTCTCCATATACTACTTTATGTGATGCAAATGACCCAATATGTTATAACATATTTGTAAAGCTTTTTTAAAAAAAATTATGCCATTCAATGCTGTTCTTTTCAAAAACCAGTTTATCACCACTAGAACTTTAGTTTTTCAATATAATATAATCAATTTATAGATATTTTAAAAAATAGTAATACTCATGTCTGACATTTCAAATACCATGGAAGACAATACATTGAAATGTATCTTTCCCCTGGTATCAAGCCTCCAACTTCTAATGTTAGAGGTAAGCACTATGAACATTTTTTTTCTGTGTCTTACTAGGAATCGTCTATGTACATATTTGTGCAGATTTTTTTTATTTAGCTACTTATTGTAGTTATTTTTCCTATAGCAGTACATGAATCCCACTTTATATCTTGTGACAAATGTAAGACATTGTAACGTAATAGTATATAAAATTACCTAGCCAGTTCCCCATTGATGGACATTTACATAGTTTCTAAAGATATTTTTTAATTTATGTATTTTTTAGAGTCTCACTGTACATCTTGGACTCATAGTGATCCTCCTGTTTTCAGCCTCCACAACACTGGGATCATAGGTGTGCACCACCACTACCTATCTTGCACTGGCCAACTCAGTGTGCCCAAGGGTGGGGCTGGCATGGCATGTGGTGCTGGGGATTGAACCCTGGTCCCTGTGCTTACCTAAGCAGGAACTTAGTCCACTGAGTTTTCTCACCAGCCCTAGTTTCTAAAGATTTTAAACAAACATTTTTTTATGAACATATATCTACATTTATCTTTGTACACTTTCAATATCAACAGGATAGATCTCTAGCAGGGGAGTTTCTGAGTAATACCATTCATTCATTTAAAATTTTTATAGCTTTTACCAAATTGGAATCCCTAAAGAAGGTTCCCCATTAGCACAAAAAAATGTGTGAGAGTCCAAACAGGCTGATTATGCTTTAAAATTCATATTGAACTCCACTTTCATGTTGTGTGCACAAGATGGCAATTTGCCAAAGATGAATATTTTCATGTTCTCTTCCTAGATCAGACCCACCTTTGTAAACTTCCATTTTCAAGTCAGTGACACATGACTCGCTGTGTTTCCCCACGGCTTAATGAAATGAAGCTGATTGATGTTTAAAATAACAGATTTGGTTGACTATGTGTTCTAGATCTTGGCTCCGGCTGGTTCTTTCTCCTGGAAAATCTACTTCCCTCCAAACTGGCTTCTGTACATTCAGCCTCCTCTTCATAGTTCATGTAAAATACTACCTTCCTCATCAAAATCATGCTTCACTCTTTCAAATCTTGAGCACCCCCATTGAATCCTCTTATACTATACGTTTTTGCATTCTAAGGCTTCAATAGTGGTAGCTATCATTATTAGCAGGCTGCGTACCTCTGCATGCCCATAGGCGTTTTCATATTTCCTTTTCCGCCCTTGACTGCCCTGTAGATTGATTGAATTTGAGCTCCATATTCAGTAGTTTGCTACTTTTTGTTTCCTTCTGAAAATGTTCTAAGTCTCTGCTTTTAATATCTACTGATTATCATAATGTTTGCATCCTTAACTTGTATAATTTCTAACAGTGAAAAATAATTTTGAAATATCTCTCTGGAAGTCAGCTCATAAACAAATGAAACTTTAAAAAGTAAGTGTTAAATCTGAAACATACTGGCAAGAGTGCTGTGGACGCTATCATATTAAAGGCCATTGGAGGCAGGCTGGCATAGTTTGCACGCCTTTGGGCCTATTTATAGGGCTGACTCTTTTTGCAATGTCAACTGTAACTCTACACTTATTTTAAGCCTCCATATCTCAAATGTCAGCTCCTACTAGCTGTACAGTTCTCTCTTATTTGATATCAGAGAGCCCAATGGAGCCTGCTGAAGTACCTAGTCAGGTTAGCAAAGATAATTTTTTAGAAGTTCCTAATTTATCTGATTCTGCTTGTGAAGATGAAGAAGTTAAAAGTACCTTCAAACCTGGCTTCTCCCCTCAACCAAGTAGAAGAAGCTCTGAGTCTTCTGAAGACATGTACCTGGACACACCAACTTCAGGCACCAGAAGAGTTTCATTTGCTGACAACTTTGGATTCAATCTTGTGTCCATTAAAGAATTTGATTCTTGGGAATTACCCAGTGTTTCCACAGATTTTGAGTTAAGGAAGGATATTTTTCACACAGAAGAATATATTTTATCTCCACTATTTGACCTGCCCTCTTCAAAAGAAGATCTTATGCAACAGCTTCAAGTACAGAAAGCAATACTGGAGTCAACTGAGTATCCTCCTGGGTCGACGAGTATGAAGGGTATTATTCGAGTTTTGAATGTTTCTTTTGAGAAGTTAGTATATGTGAGAATGTCCTTAGATGACTGGCAAACATATTATGACATTTTAGCTGAATATGTTCCCAATTCATGTGATGGTGAAAGCGACCAGTTCTCCTTTAAGATTTCATTGGTTCCTCCATATCAAAAAGATGGCAGTAAAGTTGAGTTTTGTATACGTTATGAAACTTCTCTCGGCACATTCTGGTCAAACAATAATGGCACAAATTATATATTGCTTTGTCAAAAGAAAGAACCAGAGCCAGAGCCTGAAAAGCCACGGGAAGAAGTTTCTAGTAGACAGAAGAAAGGCTGCTTAAAGCTGAAATCAAGGTGAGAGTCTATTATGCATTCTTTTTATTCATCACTTTAAAAACTTATCTCATTATTTACTGCGCATGTTGTAAAACACAGCCTTTCTGTTAAAAATGTACTGCTTGCTATGTAAAAACATTGGTGTCAGATTTTAGCAAGGTCAATGTTAGTCAAAAAGAGCATGTGGAATAACTTCTCCAATGTGAGGAAAATTATGATTATAATATAATGGACGGATGGGGAGAGAGCAATGTCTATATTATTTGCTTCATGAGGTATAAATTAATTTTAAACATGTAAAAACTTTTGTGACATTGGATATATACATGTCTTTGGTAGTCTTTAAATGTATATACAGTGAAACATTTTGACCAACACAAAACTTTATTTTAATATATACTTAGTGCTCAGAAATTTGTAAACTTCCTTCAAATGTCATAACAAACATTTAATTGACCATTTCAGTCATGCAAAGATGTTTGGAGTGAGCTTTGTTAAGTTAAACAATAATAGGTATGGCTTTAATGATAAACTGACAGAAAGATGGATGCATATGAGGGATGTATAAATTACATATAAATTTTTCTTATTATAACAATGCAACAATATGGGATACAAATCAGTATAATTTAGTAGAAGTGAATTCAATACAATAAAAAATGACCCAAATAGAAATAAAGATACTCAGATACATAGATTAGAGATTTGGGATATGACCCTTCATTAGTAACCCTGCTTTCTTATTAATTTAAAAAAGAAAAGAAAAAAGGAGGAACCCCACCAACTTCTAGCTCTCTCTACAGTAGAGAGTGAGCTAATTTCCATGACTCTAGGTTAGTAGCTGAAACATGCAAGGGCAGTTAGACCCCTTCTGCTCCTGACAGGGTCCTGGAGGAAAAATCCACATTGCTGCTCTGTCTACAGGCAAGAACTTGATTAGCCTCTGAGTGATTCATCCTAACTCTTGGTAAACCCAAAGATTTCAATAACAGCAGCAGAAACAATATAATGAAGAGAGAATTGTATTAGAAGTAAGGTATCCAGAATCCAATTCAAAAAAAATTTAATTACAAAATAAAATGCAATGTTGGGAAATTGTTAATCTTTTAATGTTTTCATATGTATAACAACAGCTTATAATTATTAAATGTATTGTTCTAATGCTAAATTTTGCATAGGTTCAGCCAATTCAAATACACAAAATATTTCTATTTTATTTCTCTGTAAAGTTATTTGAAAAAGTAGTTTAGTCAACTTCATGAGTTGCATCAACTTTCTTAGCCCAAATCAACACTTAGATTTTTACTCATGGTACTGAGATAATATATCATAATCCCTACTTGCGTGAAAATAATAACGGAATTTTGCAGCACATTAGCCATATCTGCAAAATAATTCTATGCTATTTAGCAAAGTAATTTCTATACATAAACATAAACAAATTTAAAACTTCTAAAGGTGAAACTATAATCAATGAACATCTTTTAAGAGTGTTGCTCCTTGCTTTACGTGTTACAAGAAATCATCTCAGGACCTCACAGCCTTAAAGAAAGAGTCCATAAAAGAAGCAGAATTTAGCCTAATGGATTTCTATTAATTAAGAAATAGCTTTACAATTAAAGTCCATACATTTTGAACTGAAGTTAGGGAATGGATTATTTTGTTAAACCTAATTGAATTTGATACTAAGGGCAAAGAATAGGCAACAGATAGGCCCAATCTTCTACCTAAATCATATTTTTGGAATGTCTCCTGGTTAAAAAAATTATCTATCTATTTGTCTCTCTGTCTGTCTGTCTGTCTGTCTGTCTGTCTGTCTGTCTGTCTGTCATCTATCTATCTATCCATCATCTATCTATCAATCTATCCATCATCTATCTATCTATCTATCTATCTATCTATCTATCATCTATCTATCTATCTATCTATCTATCTATCTATCTACCTATCATCTATCTATCTATCTATCTATCTATCTATCTATCTATCCATCATCTATCTGTCTATCAATCTATCCACTATCTATCTATCTATCTATCTATCTATCTATCTATCTATCTACCTATCATCTATCTATCTATCTCTCTAGCTCCCCACACACATTTGTATTCATAACAGTAATCACTGGATACATTGTGGACACCATTCAAGTTTTAATATTGCTTTGGGGAAAAAAAACCTGAGAAGAACTAAACCACAAAATCGTCTAAAGGCCTGTAAAGTTTCTTAATGAGTTATAAAAATGGAAAAAATCTCTCTCCTTCAAAACCACAAATACATTTTCTGCACTTCTATAACTTAAAAATGACCAACATAATTCAAACCACACTTTTAAAAAAGCATTTGCCTCTGGAGAAGGCTTTTTGTGCTGAGATTCAGCCCAACATGAATTTTTACAACTGATTTATAGACCACTCAAAATGGAGTATATAAAGGAAATCCTGACAGATCCTTAGAACACCGTGTGCCATAATAGAATATTTATACAGCTTTTCTACGATATAATTTATATGCAATGGGGTTTCAAATATTCCTAATACTCATACAAGAGAGCATTATCAAATTTCTAAATGACTATTGCAGTTGAATTTCATTGGGATGAATTTGGTTTGAGAAAAATAACACACCTTGTTAGTACTATTTCTCAAAATGTATAGTTAGATAAAATAAAACATGAGTTAATGCTTGCTTGATAAAAAATTATAACTTTGAAAATATCTTACCCCTCCAAATAGTTGCAAGATTTAAAACAGTCTTTTCTAAGCATTTCTACATTTATTGTGTAACTTAATTTGGGGGACATTTCTTTCCAAAGATAAAAACAAAAGAGAAATATATGTGAATTTTTTTCTATATAAAAAGAAAGTAGATTAATAATAGTGTCCAACATACTGAAAGTTAAAATGAAATTAAGCTGCCCAAGGACTCAGAGTAGCAGCTAGCTTCAATTATCCTTAATACCAAAGTTAATTTGCTATCAGGGTTTCTGAATTGTATCTTCTGGAAGTGTCAATAATCCCTTCTAATAAGTATGGAATGAACTGTGGGAAGATATTCAGGAAGGAAGGATTTCTATTATGTCAGCCACCCACGCAGATATTTTCTGTGTGGAGATTTTTCTCAGGTCAGAGTTTGCAAATTTCCATACTGGTGTCGACTATTTAATTTCTTTTGGTGCTTGTTAATCTATTCACTTTGGGTAGGAGCAAATAGGTAGCAGAAGAGAAAATCAGTGTTTGTAACTCATGCGCATGTGACTGAGAATGATCCAATGGCATTTAACTGCACTCAAAGGCATGCATCATGAGATACTTGTGAAGTGTCACCACATACACAGCACTGAGATACGAGCTAGCAAACAAACTAAGCTGGTTTCAGATCCACATTCCATGGGCTTTTTAAAAAAAATACTGACAAAAATGGCACTAACATTAATAGAATTAAATATATACATAAATAAGCTAAAAACAACATTCTTCAAGAGTACACCCATAAAAGGTTAGGTTTCATAGTTAAATATATCCTAGTTTGAGTCTTAGCTTTACTGCAGTGTATCTATGCAAATCTGAGCAGATAAAGCTTGGTTTTGTCATATATTAATTTAGAATAATATTTGCTTTGTCTAATAAGGATTTCTTAAGATTTCCATGACCATATAGTCTTGGCCAGATGAATGTTAGCTGAACCAAGAAAAATACCACATCGTTAATTCTACTTTTAGGGTATCTAAAAATCCTTAGTAAGATTCGAGCTTCCCTAGACCCCTCTCCTTTTACTTTCAAGTCTCTTGGATCTTCAGTTTGGAAAGTCCTTCCTTTCCCTCTTCTAGGGTTTCAGTCAACACCCAAATCTGAACCGCAGATTTTCTTGAGATACATGTGACTTGTATCTGGGACAACATTAACCCCAAAGAAAACTTAGCAACTCTTGAAATTCTCATATTTAATACATTAAATATAATGAATAAAATCACAAGGGACTCAAAGGCATTGATACTGGCATTGCATACACATGCATATTAATCCCAATGAAATATGCCCACAGCTAATAGCTATTAAGTATATATTTCACTGGGATAGCTATGTGGCTGTGGATATGTTACTTGACTTCTCAAAGCCTCAGTTTATTTATCTGTCAAATAGAGGTCATGGAGCTTGATTTCATGTTGACTGAACTATTCTAAAATGAGTTTATATCATTAAAGTTTCTATGAGAGAGTTGGACAAATATAAAGCAATCATTCTAAGCTATCTGGCATAATTACAGTTATAGGATCAACTCTTCTTCAGCTAACTTCCTCATATTTGAATTTGTATTATTTCTCCAGATATGATAAATTTCCTTGTTCTGGTTCCAAAACAAATTCAACAAATATTTATTCATGGTCTGTAGGCCACAGCAGTATTCAAATGGAAAAAAGTGGCTGAAGACAAGAAGGCCCAACAGGAAAGGCCTTCCAGCAAAGAGAGGAGAGTAAGAGAAACCAAAGTCCAGTCCAGATTTTCTGGTTATACATGGAAGTCAAAGATTAAAAAAAAAAAGTACTATTTACATTTCAAGTTGTCTACAATGTGTAATCTATAACTGACATTGGATACTGGCTAGAGGCATGGCCTTCCCTCACCACCTGCTCAGAGTATGTTCTTAATAGTTATACTGCTTGACTTCACCTCATTCCTTATTTTATTAAGTGAAACAAATTTATTATTGCAGGTAAAGAAACAGCATGATATAAGTGTTGGAATTTATTTATAACTTGGCCAAGTAAATGCAAATAAAACCCTAAATAATGTTAATGCCAGGAAAAAATTAGTCCACAATTTCTTATGCTTAAAGATTAGAATGAGGCACATTCAGGAATAGAAAGGTAAGAAATCCTTTCTAAAGTACAATTTTCAGAATGCAGACAGTTTGTCTTGCTTTGGAAAATCATTAAAATGGGGCCAAAAAAATCATTGGAATTGGGCCATGAGGTATGGCCATGTTGCCTGTTGCAGTCAGAGCTGTAGGATTGTGAG